CTACTTTAATAAATTAACGTTCTAATAAATCCGCTTTGGCGATCGGTAGAATTAAAACGGTGTACTTTAAGACACGTGTGTATTAATAATGAATTTGAAAGCCCTCAAGGATTTGCTAATTGAAATGCCATTCTCCGCGATCAATCTCGTGTACAAATCACCTCTTAACGGACGATCCGAAGCACCGTTATATTAATTCATGTTGCAAGTTGCTTCCGCGATATTCTGTTCTAGTTTACACTCAAGTTCATGCAATAATAACATCCAAGTTTGTACCATAAATTGTATGAATTTCAATCACTATCGCATTCAACATTCGCATTAGCTATAGTGTTTGGAATTTCGCAGCTGGCAAGCTCGCTCATGCTCCTCCGAACGCAGTTAGAAATTCTGAGAATTTGCAATTTCTAATTACACCTAGATAATCATTGTCGCTAGATAAGGAAGGGAAAGAAACGGATTGCTCACAATTTGTCGACTTTCAACTTATGTAGCCGATATAGAAAGACACGCTTCGAAGAGTTCGCGGGTGTTGCGTAACTCTCTAAAGCAGTTGGAGCGATCGTTTTTTGTTGGAGAGCTTGTTACAGAGTACGTTCGTCTCCCGAAGTTCGCGAACTGCAGGTACGTCCTTCCTGGACTTACCGCTTCGGTAATTCGTGCAAATCGCCTTTTGCCAGAAAGGAAACTGCACTTTACTGCTCATAGCACTAATAGCCTATGCAACTCCCTCAGGAGGGTTAAGAGCGCTGGTTCCCCGAACTCCTGCCTCCCCTTCTTTTCTCTCACATCCTCCCTCCTTCTCTCTTTTTATTTGTCATCCACACAAGATGGAACACGGGTGCAAAACCGGGGTGAAACGGAAGCGACAAATAAGTCTGTCTTGGAGGACGAATGAAACAGTCGGGACACGCGAACGGGAAATTAGCTTTGTTGCAAGGGACGAACTTTAACTCACTTTATTCGCTATTATTCTCCCTCGCTGTTAGCGCTGCGGCGGATTTTGCGGCGTTTCTCATCGTGATGTGCCCACGACCTTTCCTTTTACCTCCAGCACGTTTCTTGAATATCGTATGAAAGCACAAACGAATGAAACTAGGTGCGGCACATTTATAATCCGTTATCGGCTTTAAGAAATGCGGTAGGCGATCGTAATAATACGCTACTGTATCGTAATAATACGCTGCGAGTATCGCGCTTACAGGCGTCCGTCCAACATATCGCAGACTGGTCATTAAATATTATATCGTTACGAGTTTCATTGTATTATGCAAAGTATTCCGTCTTCATTAATATCGATCTCCGTTCCTTAGGCCGGACGGCAAGAGTTGAATAATTTATGAGTTGTGTAAGCAATTGAAAGATTCAAATTTACAGATATCACACAAATATCGTAGTTTTACGCACGTAACGAGATTATTATTATAAAACGGTAATTTATAAATAAAGAGAGCATGGTTTACATGACGCTTTTCTTTATCGGCCACAGACATGCCATTCTGCTAACGGCTTGTAAAAAAGCGTCGTGTACATATTTTAAGACGCCGGTAAACTAACTTACTTTTTTGCGTCGTCTAGCACGTTAGCAAGCTAAAATATTCCAACCTGATAGCGCGACGGTAGTTTTTACCACCGCAAAAAATATCATGTAAGTTGTATGTAGTTGTAGACTTTTTAGCAATTTTCGTGGACAGATTGTAGGATAGTCGCAAAGGTCGTGTTTGCCGAACTATATCATCATGATGTTTGCTTCCGACATGCAGTAAACTCGCAAAAATGGCATCCAACAGATATGAGAAATACTTACAAAAATTAATA